ACACACACACACACACACACACACACACACACACACACACACTCGTAACTCAGTAGCAGGAAGTGATTCGTACGCTGGAATGCTGGATGGAGTCAATACACCACATTACACAGAGAGAGGGAGGGAGGGAGGGAGGGAAGGGAGAGAGAGAAAGGGGGCAGAGCCATCGGACACAGGCTGATTCACACACTTTCAGAGGCACACACTCCCGTTCTCTCACACAAATCTGAGGCAGCAGCACTGGGGCGCGCACGGGACGATATGCCGCAGTCACACCAAAGTCTCGGGACTCGGAGCGTGCTCGTCAGACTCACTGTGGACTAACAGCAGGGGGATATTTTAGAGAGAGGATCCAGTTTTATCTTGCCAGGGGGCCATGTCACTCTGGGAACAGCGTGGACAGCCCGTGAGGTGAGTGTCCGGATGACAGACGTCTTATTTAAATCCTCTGTGCGACTCACTGAAGCGCTACCGAAAAACTTCTGACTGGTCTCCAAACCGGGAGCTGCTCCCAGTAAATCCCTCAAGTCTGGAATGTGGAGAATGACTTTGATGTTATTCTAGAATTTGTCAGCGAGCGCAGTCGGCTGCCAGGAGAAGGGGTGTGTGCTGCTCGTGTGTGAGGAGGCGTCAAACTTTTAGGCAACTTTGGAACCAAAACAACGATGGAGCTCCTGCTGTGGGGGGGGGGGTGTTGGACATAAATGATAGATGAGCAATGATTGATTGATTGATAAGATTTTGGAAAGGTTTTGCGCGGGCGAGCCACGTCGCTCTCCCTCTCAACTCTCCACCTCCGTGCCTCTTTGCCGTTATAACGTGAGTTGTATTTTGGGAATTAAAAGTCACGAGCCAGTGGCACATTCTTGGGCTTGTGTCGACTTCTATTTCAGAAGTGGCAGGGCAGAGGTCTGGAGGCAGAGGTCTGGAGGCAGAGGTCTGGAGGCAGAGGTCTGGAGGCAGGGTGCCTGTGTGGCGTGGCCACGCTGCTACTCCGAGGAATTCTGTTTATGTTTTGGGGGTAAGAGGTGGTTGGACGGTCAGCTGCAGCTCTGTGGGGATGTTGGTAAACCCTTTGAAACTGGATGCTCTTTTAATTAAGCGAGCAGTCGTGGCCAAACACTCCAGAGAATCCCCTCCTCCTCCCTTTCCTGACCTCCCACCCCCCTCTGTGCTGGGTCCAAAGTCTTGCATAACTGGGGAGTTTAATCTTCATCCTTCTCAAAGTGGGTTAAAAAATCTGCTGCGATCTCACCACTTACTCAGCTAAACAGCTTAACAGTGAGCGGAGAGAGACCCCCCCCCCATCTCCCTCTCCATTCACCTCCAGCCTCCAGCTCAGACCGGGGTTGCAGATTAGGGATTGCACTGGTTCAGTCGCTCGGCAGGATGGATCTGAGGCTTTGGCAGTGGGCTGTCGGGCTCGCAGAGTGAAAGGCTGGTGATGCATGTGGAATGACATTCCAGACACCCGGGTCTGTTGTGTAACGGGGGAAAGAATGCAAGGCCGCGGAGGCAGGAGAGCTGTCATTCAGTCAACTGAGAGAGAGAGAGAGAGAGAGCTGAAGGGTTTATTTTGTAAAATGAGATGCTGGCTGCCTGTCTGCAACCGGCTCATGCAAAGTGTCTGATGTCAGAAGCTAATTTGGGAACAGTTTAATGGTGCAATAGCGAAGAAGCTGTAAAGGATCTGTGTCACGTACTAGTCTCCAGCTGTTAATCTGCTACCTCTAAAAACTTTGGGCTGACCTGAATGAGGGGAGCTATAGAAACTCAGTTTTTGTTGAATTTTAACTGGGAGCACTGTCATTCTCTAAAAATACACTCTCACCAAAATAAAATGTTTTTTTAATCCAAATATGATATTTAAATTTCCTGGTTTGATGCATTAACCAGAAGAACATGCAGAATTTGTAAAATGTTCTTGAATCAGTCAAATTTGTTGGTAACCAGTGGAATCGTGTGATCTTTGAGCAACAGTTAGCCAGACTCATCACATTTTCTTTTCCGAGCGCTGAAGTTGTGCTATTTGTTAAATGCAGGTTTAGTCACTAAAACGTTTGTTTGGTTTTTAAATCATTTGCATATTGTCATGTGCCAAGTTTGATGTAGACGCTATTTACATGACGGAATAGTTTGTCAGATTAATGTGATTATAAGCTGCTAAATCAGAAAACAGCAAATACAGAAAGAAATATGTGTTGCGATGGTTTTGTGCTGTGTTACAAAATACTTTCTTATCATTTTTCGTCATCGTATCTGGTTTTGTAAGTTCTGTCAGCCAACACACACTCTGCAGTTAGAACACACACAACTTCGCTCTGCTTGTGTAACTGGATTCTTCAGCAATGAATTGTTCACAGCGACTAGATTTCGCATCATCTGCTAATAAAATTAAATATTTGCGCGAGTCAAACTTTGCAGTGTTTGCCGTGTGACGGTGGTGATTTGCAGCCGAGATTCCCACACCCCGGTCCAAGTGTTCGTTGTTCAACACTCATTGTGTTTGTTTCCTGACATACATTCACCCACGGCAGGTTTGGTGCTTAATATCTGCTCGTCATAGAGCAGCGGAGGCTTTAATCTCCAAACAAGACGTTTTTTTGTGTTGGAAAAAAAATCCCCCCCCACGCTTCATTTTCATAATCCCCTCTTTAATATCTCACATTGCCAGTGGCATTTGCCTCCTGCAAAATGGAGGATTGGATTACCAATGTCAGGAATGTAATGGAGGAACATGATTGAACATGTCACTCGGGCGTTTGCGTTTGGTGGCCTTACGTGTTTCCCGACGCATGAAGGGTGGAATCGCTGTACTCCTATTTTCCACAAGGAGCGTGAGCCGAGGGAGGCTCAACAGGATAAGAGCTGGTAGCGACTCCGGCTGTCTGCAAAACCAGATCAAAAGCATTCGCTCGTCCCTCTGAAGCCGCCACCCAGCTGACAAATCATCGTAGTAAGTTGCAGGAGAATTACGCCAATTGTCTTCTCGTTGGAACACGAGTGAAAATACAGAGTAAGCTCTCCGTACCCTAGCCCTTGTTTGGCCCTGTGGTAGAATCCGAAGCTTGTGCACATCAGGGATGCAAGCGGAGTTGAAAGGCATTAGACTGAAGCTCAGGCAAAGCAAACTGCAGCCATCAGCATTAACGCTCCGACTGCATTTCTGTTTCTCTCTTCTCACAGTGGTCCGGCCAGTCATTCACGTATAGTCTTTGATTTCAGTTTATCCTCAGAAGTTACTGTGAGTCATATGGAGTTATTTGTTCACGCAGTATCAGAAAGTTGACAAATTAAAACAAAAAGAGTAAAAAAAATTGCTGCTCTGGCTTGGAAACAACAGAACGGCTGACAGAAGAGAAAAAGAAAACACAAAAACCCCACAAAGGCTCGTCAGTGAAAGGAGGCAGAAAGAGAAAAGCAGAGCCAGCTAAATCGACTCCTAGAAAATAAAAGGTACCACGAAAATCATTATTTGCTCTTTGCCAAAGTGGCAGGTAGAGCAGCACCAGCTCTTTGCAGCTGCCTGGTGTTTATTTCACTGCCAGATCGAGCTGTATACCCCGCAACATGTATCCACAAGCCCCGGGCTGCTAAGCATTTAGCCCACGCTGTGACCGAGGTCTGCACCTGTCGGCATGATTGATGAAAACTGCCACCTCCGCAGCCGCGGCACAGGTAGCCACACTCCGCTACTCACTGCTCACTTCGTCTGGGGGCGCTCGGGAAAACTTTCCACTGCTGCAGTTTTATCAATGTGAAGAATTTGTTGGATCAATAGACGCAGGTTTTGAACTCGTGACGATGTCAGTTACTTTCTTAATGCATCAACTTTTTTTAGTCCGTTAGAAGTCGTGAAACTCCACAATGTATAAGCTGTCAGTCAAAAAACATTGAATTTGCTTTCATCTTTGATAAAGATGGTCCAGAAATGTTAGAGACGCTGGAAGCAGCAAATAGTTTTGTTTTTATTTGCGTTATATCAATTAATGGACAAACAAAATCTACAAAATGTAAAATAGAGTTAATAAAATAAGAAATACACAATTTGAACAAATGAAAAAATGGCAAAGATCAATACAAATAATTTAAAGTAAAAAATAAATGATATAAACGTGTCAGTAAAATTGTTAATACTTCAGTAAAACATTTCTATCATAAAAATAAAGACACTGGAAAATATTCATGTAGTTTCCTTTGTTTATTCATTTAATTGATCAATCAGTTAATCGTCCACTTAATCATTCTCTGTAATTGACATAATTATTTCAGCTCTAAAGGTTCTGTACTAATTGAATGTTTTACACTTCCACCTTCACTTCAATAACAATTGAAGAAGAAACTCCTCTATGCGCGGGGGAAAGAACACAAACTTGACGGCACTCTGTTTTTTTTTTTTGGGTCACTGGCGTTTATCTAACAAGGCAATCAGCAAACCAACAAGATGGGGGTCACATTCTTTTTCAAAGGACGCTAAAAATAACAAACAAGGACGCCCTTATGTGTCGGCATTGAGGTCGGGCGCTGGACAAAGACGCCTTTCTCTATCAAACCCACAAGTTTGCATCTCCTCATGCTCAGAATTTCCCTGACCACCGACTTTTTCTTTAAGGCATATCGGTCTGTGCTGTTTTTAATATTCCCCCCGATGGCCCCCCTCATCAGGAGCGAGGCGTACTTTACAAACTGGGACGTCATGATGGGGAACTTTTCCAGAGGCGAGTGTTTCCCTCCAGGTGGGAGGGGGTGACGGCTGAAAGAAGGAACTGTCCAGTCAAAGCTGCTCTGTTCCACATATTTAAAGCACAGTTCCATACTGCATATTCAAAATGTTGGGCACAGCTGTTCCATATAAACGCACACATACATCGAAGTGGCTGTTGTGTGGCTCAAAACGAATACGCGAAGGTGCTTTCAGTTTTGGATTCTTCAGGGAAATAAACTTTTTTCTCCACTTTCGGTTGATTTTACTTTTAACGATTTAAATCTTTTTCTTCTAGTTTCGGAAAGCGATCAGCCGGCAGCCTACGGCGCGGATGTGAGTGCATCGTCCTGGAACCCTCAGAGATGATTGTGGTGAGTACCTTTGTTCAGACTTTTAGAAAACAGGTGTCAAAGACCAAACCCTCACACAACCTCACACCAACAACACCACAAAATATAACGCAAAAAGATTTTCCTGCTACACAACCATTGAGGAATGGCTTCAACATAACAAAGTGTAAAACATATCGGCCTTTAACAAACTCTGAAAGATATATTTAAACCACCAGTATTGAATCTTTGTAAACCCGCCTTCATGTAAATCACATTGCCCTTCACTTAATTCTGTGGTGGCAGAAACTCTCAAGTTCTTTTCTGTCATAAAAAGTACTTTGTTGGATTCATGCATCGTGTCAGAGCTTTAAAAAACCAGCAGCACCGAGACTTATTCATCTGTCATTCATTTTGTAATTCCATTATGTAAGAAAGAATTATACCCATGTGGGTCAACAAGTGCAGGCTACATACAACAGAGTAATTTAGTATATCGTCCTTGACAGTTAGCCCTGTGATGTTTTAGAATAATCTGTGTAAGCACGACCTATTGATATTTTATTGCCGCGTTAAAGCGCGGCCGTATTTTAACCGTGTCTTTGCTGGAGTCCTTCCAACGTGTGGGGTTATGCGAGTGCAAGCCTGGGAAGAAACTCTGTCCCACTTCAAATGGAAAAGCAAACGCTGACTCACAGAAGAAGCTGTTGAGAAACTCTCGTCACTGTCTCCGTGGGGCACAGAGGCAAGAGGTAGCAACACAATGGAGTCATCTGTTGAACAGAAACCCTCCAGGCCTGAACATCACAACAAATGCAGCTGGGCTAATTTATTTTGCACTTCAGGGCGCGGTAGCCTATATTCCAAACAAAATCGACCTTGTGCAAACTTATAACAGCTGTAAATCACAGATCGCTATCACATCTGTCCGTTTGATGAAACACCAAACCAGTAAGAGAACCTTGAAAACTGCTCGCAGCGGCCGCAAATAAGCCACAGCGATAAATAAGGCAGCTAATGATTATTGTCATTATCTAGTAATCTCTAGATGAATTTCTCCAATAGCCAGTTAATTTCCTCGTGTATATTATGTCCAAGTAACTGTCATGGCCCTAAACTGCTGATCTAGACTGAGATCTTTAATACATTTAAAATAAAAACATGTTGTTCTGGATGTGGCCCCCGTGTGTTGAGATCTATGAACAAACATTTTGACTATGTTTTACTTCAACCACCCAAATTGCACACGCTCTCGTTAATTAAGCCATTATGAGACGCCAATCTTTCTGCAAACTGCTAAATGCATATTTTGACCAGGTGTCTAACATGGCATGCCTCTTTAAACACACACACACACGCACCTACCTACGTACTCTCCACCGTTTCTCACACATACAGATCCATCCTGTGCCATGTTTGTAAAGGGAAGGCATCAAATATAACCAGAGCCTTGAAATAGTTTGCGATAACGAGTGGTTGGCACACAGCATCTCAGTAATCTTCCTTTCAGATGCTGTAATTGCTGCATGAATGTGCGCTGTAGAAGAAGGGGGGGGGGGGGGGGGGGGGGTTTGCATCTGTTAACTGAGCCTCTACTGTATCAGACACACAAACTCTCAGTAATAACACCCTCTGCGCTGCTCGCTGCAGACAATTGGTGGCCTTACCCCACTTGCTATTATAGGTGCCAAACCGCCCCACAATCAGCGAGAGGGGTTTATATGGAAACATGAAGATCACACACAGGAGAGATGCAAACACAGACCTGCAAAAGAACGAAAAATAAGCCACTGGTGTGTCCGTACTGTACACACACACACACACACACACACACACACACTGCTCAGAGACTTGCAATTAGACACACAATCACACTTTTGCTCTCACTCACACACAACTCCCCTGCCGTTGTCATGGCAGCAGTTGGTACGGCAGAGAGAGGGAGTGATTTTGGCGGTGTAATCCCAAAGGCTGAGCACTGTGAAACGTGAAGCCGCAGTGAAAGTGGCAGGAGACGAGGAATAGGCCCAGAATTTTGGAGGAAAAGGAAAAAGAGAAAACTCAGATGCGTCGTTCCATCGTGACCCAAAGCCACCGGGGAACAGTGCGGTCTCGTTTGAGAAACGTTCAGCCAGAAACACTTCAGAAAACGGAGCAGCATGACTTCACTGACTTTTATGTTAAAAGTGTTGTTCTGTGCCAGTTTCCACTTGAAGATGTTTTTTTTTTTTCCTCCTCCCAGTTCATTAAAACGAAAAACATGTAATTTCATCGTTAATATGTTTAACAGATTTGAGAGCATCTCTGTTTCTGTGTTCATCTTTTACTCTGCCAGCCTTCATCTGTGATTTTCTCTGTCCACCGATCTATCCCCCATCAGTCCTCTCACTCTCTTCTACCTCCTTCCATCCAAAATCCTCACTCAAGCCCCCGTTTCTTCCCCCTCTCTGTCTCTTATCACGTTGCGAGCACCCTTTGACGTAGGTGTGCAGCGTGTAGCCCACACACACACTTCTATTTTTACGCAACGAGAGAGGCAGAAGGCAGGGAGGAGGAGGAGGAGGTGGAGGAATGGTAGAGTATAGGAGGAGGGTGGGGTTTTTGGGATGTGTGTGTGTTTTCGAGATGGGAGTGGGGATGGGCGTGAATGAGGACGAAGGCAGTAACTCCCTCATCGCTCTCTCTCCCTCCCCTCCGCTCCCCATCATTTCCAGGTGGACTATATGGATGAAAATGAGGAGTACTTTCAGCGGCAAGCATCGCACAGACAATCCCGTCGGCGCTTTCGGAAGATCAACCAGAAGGGGGAGAGGCAGACAATCATTGACACAGTGGATCCGTACCCCACCGGGAAGCCGCCCATAGCCCGGGGATACCACACGGTGAGTTGCACATACAGTTTTGTGTTTGCCCCCTGGCTGCGGTGGATCGCTGTGTACCCGCAGATGTAGCTTAGTGTTGCTGTGTTTTGCCGTCTTCGTGCTCTTGTTTGTGTGTCATGCTTCTGCATCAGACCCAGTTGTGCAGTCCTGCTTCAGAGCTGTAGCTGAAGGTTTGTGTCGTCCACCTGTTCCCTCTGTCTTTGGTGGTCGTAGCTAACTCTGGGTTGTAGGTTGTTGTGTTGTCGTGTGTCGTTCCCTTGGTTGAGCAGGGAACTCGTACTACAGTGGCCTAATAACTGTCGTCCCTGTAGCGTTGAATTGTCTTTCCCACACTTGTGTTTATTCTGTAGCTCCTGCTGGCTTCAGTGTGTCACTGTGCTCTCTTTAATAAGAGTATTTGCGATTCTTTGAGCATCACAAATGCTTCTTCAGAAACCCTGTTTGTCTGTGCTTGCGTTTTTTAGGAAAATCCTGCAATGTGTGATGTTATTCGTGTCTTTGCAGTGTTTTCGTCCAGCAGATGCACTTCAACTCCCTGCGCTCCCTGCACAACACACTTAAGAGCATCATAGCAGCGAAAACAATCATTGTTTTCTTGGCTTTAGAAGAGACGAGTGCCCCGGAGACTATATTTTCTCAGAAAGCATGTTGCTGTGTGATCATCATCCAACTATTGGAAATGAAATGAGTTTAGTTTGGAAGCTTTGTCTCTAATGTGGTGGGTTGAGACCTCAACAAGGGGTTTGAGATGAATACACGATGATTGTTGGAGTTGGAAATAAAAAATGTCATCAATTGTTGGACGTCTCTCAAACACTTGCCTTTGCCTCGTGGTTGAAGTGCACAACATCACATCGTCCGGCCTCGAAAGGTTTCAGATGAGGCCGATTTGAAAAGTAGAAATCTCTTTGTACAACTGTCACAAATATGAGAACAAGTGATGACAAGTAGTTTGTATGAAAAGCAAAGCGTATTACCACAAACACTGACACAATTCAGAAAAAGTTTGAAGTTTTATCAATGTAGTACGATGAATATGTCGACTGGAGAAACAAGCTCTGAACTAAAATCAACTCCCCTTTAGATTCTAAGGCTGTAGTGTTTTAACACAATATTAATTTAGGCTAGTGTCAAATAAGAAAAGCAGTTAAAGATGAGAATATTGTGACTGGCTCGTTATTTTTAGAGAAAATTGAAGGAGAAGCTAGTCTGGAGAATTCACTTTGGTAAATTGACTTGTTTTAAATCGCATTCACCCATTCATACACTGCTTCTTTACATGTTTTCCCATCACACATCATCACATATACAACTGTCAGGGGTAATTTGGGGTCTAGTGCATTTTCCAAGGGCGCCTCAGCATGCAGGCTGGAAAAGTTGTGGATCGAACCGATGACCTTCTGGTTAGTGAACAATTCCGCTTCACCCCCTGAGTCTCACCTGTTAAATGTATTCTGACTTATTAAAGATCCAGTCATGGCACAGAGTATTGACTTCACCCATCTGAAGGGATTTGACTCCAGCACTGGAAGAGAGAGTCGGCTGTTGTCTTGCACCAGAACGTCTCCCCTCTGTGCTTCCATTCTCTGGGAATAGGAAGCGAAGCTTGTTCACACTAATGATGTAAATACCCAGCACGCAATTGCTGCACAGAGGTTTTCCTGTTCTGCACAATTTGACTGCATTCCCTTCATTCCCGACGCTCCCGTGGGGGGGTTCTGTCAGAGTGCGGGTTCCTCTCGGAACAATCGCGCTTAAAAAGGAAAAAATGGAGTGAACATCATCTTTCCTCCTGCCTCAGCGCAGCCCCACCCTGGGTTCTATATTTAGACCGCCTGTGTTTTTGATTCAGAAGACCGCACTGAACTTTCTCATGGCCCAACATCTCGCGTCACACACTCAACTCTTTTCGCTCGAGCATCGTTCCTGTGGGAAGGATGGAGCGGTGCCATGGCAACCAGCAGTCCCAAATGGGCTGTGCTCGAGTGCACTCAGAAGTACAGTAGGGAAGGGAGCTAACTTAACGTGAGTGCAGTCTGCCACCGCTGCTGATGACAGAGGGGCGGGGGCGGACGGAGTGACAGGGCAATGAATCTGGACGGATGCTAAGCTTACATAGAATTGCTAATCTCCAGCATTTAGAACGCCAGGCACCGCTCAGATTTTCCTCCCTGCTACCCCGAGGCATATTTCAGAGGTGAGACATGCAGTGAGGAGAAACTTGGGATTGAAGAAGGAAATCTCTTCAGTAGGAGAAGTTTTTTTATTCAGCTTAGTCACTCCTGTCAAAGTAAACATGAGGAATCCCTCTTCTGAAGACAGCCCCACTCTCTCAATTTGGTTTTCGTCTACGCTAGAGTTTTATGTAAATGATTATCGTCACGATTTATCAAACTGCAGAAGCATTTTTCACTTAACGTTTATAAAAAATATAAGAAAATACTGAAACGTGTCCGTCACAGCTTCACAGGGATCGAGCAAATGTCTTTGAATTACTAATAACTCTAATCGCCAAACCAGTACGTAGAGATAACGCTCACAAAATATGCAATAATTTTATAGTAGTTAATCAATTCTCCATCAAAAATCCCAAGTATTCTCTACGTAGTTTCTCCATTGTGAGGATTTTCACTGTTTTATCTTGCAGTAACTATTCGTTGGACAAATAACCATTTTAAACTATTACGTTAATTTTCAGATGCCTTATAGATCGGCAGCTAATCGAGCTACGTAGCGGCTGCTGGAGGGTTTTGGCTCAGACAGGATTTAACTTTAATTCATACACTCGCTGCTATAAAGGCAAAAATCATTAAGGAAACAAATTTCAAAGTTCAGCTCAAGTGAGGATGAGATTATTAATAATTATTTTATAATAAAGCAGAGTGAAGCTCTTCATGTGAAACTTAATGGCTTTTTGAAGATGATGAGATGTGACGGGCCAATGGCAGTCTTTGTCCTCAGTGCTGCATCAACTCATTATCCTGACGTAAGAAATCTTTGCTCCCAGCAGGACATCCTTAGGTTGTAACCGCCAGGTCACAGGTTCGATCCCCTGTAGCAACCGTAGGATGAGCATGTGTGAACAGCTGTGTGAGCTGCTGTTGTGTCCGGGCAACGGACTGAACATGCTCAGTCATTGTATGTTGCTATGGAGAGTGCCAGCGTAATAACTAAAATATAAATGGAATGCTGACCCAGTAGTGGGACTCCCAGTGAGACTGCTCACACACACACACACACACACACACACACACACACACTCTGTTGTGAGGATTTTTTTTGTCTAAATTAAATAAATGCATATTATTTCATTAGTCTGTAAATAAAATTTCATTTGATCTGTTTGGATAATTACTGTCACTTGGAAGATTTGGATGAGAAATAATAAAGATGTGTTTGTTGGATTGAGAAAAGTTTAATGTTCTCCTCCATTGACTGGTTGTTTCAGATTCTGTATAGAACCTTACAATCACCTTGACGTGAACATTTGTGTATTGATGAGAAGAAGAAAACACAAGAGGTCCATCTAAAGAAGCCCTATAATCACACTGAATCTCCATTTTGTTTTCCAGTCTTTATTCAGCAGGGTTTTCACACACATCGTCTCGCTGGGTGAAAATAGTGGCCAACCCTGTGTGTGTGTGTGTGTGGGTGTATTTGTGAGACATAGGACTTAGTTATAAGATTCTAAAAAGGGACTTGAAACACTAAGAAAGTAGTCGGCCGGAAATTATTTCATATCTGACCTACAAATACTGTTGATGGTAAAAAAAATAATTAGATTTAGTCTGAAACTGTGTTTTTATTTATACGGGAAGGAGAATTTAATTTGTCCCTAATCACAGTAGTGACTGACGTATCTGTCCTGTGTACATCATTTACAGATTTTTAATAATAATAACGTATCTGAGTCAACATAAAACAGTCTATACGGGAGCATTTATCTCAAACATCGCCACCACCATTTTTGTTACCACCTATCAGGCAGGATTTTCTTCCTCTGGCACAGGACGAAAACCATTTTTCATCCGACCTCCAAAACCACGATTGTCTCAGTTGTGTTTGCAACGCTGAAGACATCTGTCTCGAGAAACTACAACCAAGTAGCACCAGAGCTTCTCTCTTGAGTGTGTTAGTGTCCCAGCTTCGTCCAGAAGGGATCGGATTGACCTTTGCTATATCTCTAAGGTGAAAGATGGCAGCTTTGGCTTCACTGCACCGTTCAGATTTACTGTCAAAGTGCACACCTCATTTTTCCTCCACATTAAAACCCTTTGATTCATAGTACGAGTAAGTTCCTCCTGTTATTATGTCACTATAACTTACTGAAGTTGTGCTCTTGCTGCAAGTATCGTGTCATTTGATTTCAGTAATGCAGGGGAGGCTGTCATCTAAAACACAAGAACAGTAACATGCACTTGTGGTTTTAACTTAAATTGTTAGTTTGTCATCATTGGACGCAAAGAGCTAATGACAGATTTGTAGAAATAATTTAACGCCGTCGTGTCCTGGTTAAATCAGGGCAGTGAAAGAGGACAGTGTTTAGTATTCAACATGTGTCCCGCGTGCTCAGAGCTGCGGGTTAACACTCGGGTTCCTTGTTCACGGTAGACACTAGTTATTTCTAGCAGCCGCACACTGCTTGACTTTTGCATGTTCTCCCTCGCAGAGGCTCTTAATCTCCATTTTTCATCACCTCTCCATTTTGCACTTTAGCTCACACATAATCTTGCTCTTAAATATCAACAGCCATTTGTGCTGTCGAACCACGTACGCACACACTCTCAGACACACACACACACGTATACACACACACATATCTATTTCGGCTGTGCTCTCTCTCTCAGCCGCTCACTTAAGGGCTTTGTCTGTCAGTCAGATTGAAATGACGTGGTGATATTTGCTTCTGTTAAAGCTTCGTGTTTCCTGAACGCTACACTCTTGATTTTATCCGTAACAAATAATAATGTGGTTAATTTCTCCTTCACCCACTGTCGTCCTTTTCCTCCTCCTCTGGGTTAACTCAGTGGCCAGGAGGGCATCCGAGGCTCCACATACAGCTGTTCTATAAATATACAAGCAGCAGGAGGCAGACAATCAATACTCCTTTCACTCTTTCCCTTCACCCGGGCTACCTGGTGGTTCGGGAGGCCGCCCCGTAATCAGAGGGACACAGGTTTAATCCCTGTAACAGCCGATGTGTCCACCGGCAATCAGGCGCTCTGTTGGAGTGTCCTTGACGATGACATTGCTCACTCATCTAACGACAACCTAAACGTCTTTAAGATCTTCGTCGGTTTCTGTGATGTGTTTACATCTGGATGGTTTCAGATCTCACATGTCGTCAAGGCTGGAAGATGATTGATGAAAAATCCATCGTTGTCTGCAGCAGCCCTTGGTTTAGGTTTGAAACCCAGGGGAAGAAGGGTAGAGGAAAATCTGCCTCAGTAATCACATGATGCACTGTGTGTTAAACATATACAAACACCTAATTGTAAAAAGGACAATTTGTTTTATGGTTCCAGGTGAGATATTCCCCCTATCTTCAAGCTAACTGCTAGCTGTGGCTTCATATTTCACACACACACAGCAGCGGTATTGATTTTCTTATCTACGGTGACCAGACGTCCCAGTTTGTCTGAGATTGTTCTGGTTCAAAGCTGAATCTCTTCAAATATCAGTGAAAATGTTCACCACCAAACAGTCTTGTGTGATAAAAACTACTATAGCACATCTTGATTGGAGTATTAATGTGTAGTTAGGG